ACTATGATTGTCTGTATACCACCAAAGTAATAAACAAGATGCACTGAAAATGTTAATTAGCGGCTCGAGTTCAACCTATTTAACTTCACTTTTAGAAAAATACTTGATTAGAAGGAAAAAAAACCTAATCATTACCACCTATGCAGGAAAGATGGAAAGCAGAGGAGTAATGATGCAGCCAGGTACCTGGAGCAGCTGTCATAGAGACTGTGGAAACTTCACGCTACCACCAGTGTGATTGCAGAGCTGCAGCGGCAGCTGTTTTTTTTCCACTCCCTCCACAAGTCAGTGTTCAAGGTGGATGCCCAGTTACCCTGCCCTAGTGACACCACTAATAGAAAAGATGAAACGGGAGGTGATGTGGCACCCTATGTAAAAATGCCTTATCATTTTCCAAGTCAATGAAAATTCAGACGAAATAATCTTTCATATTTATGGATCATATTTATGGATCGATATTATATCAGACTGAGTGTAAGGTGGGGTACAGGTTGGTATCTGATACTGACTGTCCCAGGGGAGCGGGGACGCCAGGAGACCCCCATGGTGGCAAAGGGTCCCGCTTACCTCCCGCAGGGCCGGAGGAGCCAAAGGAAGTCCACACGCCGGCGCGGCTGAGCGGCGGGGGCGGGGCACGCCGGCCGGGAGAAACAAAAGGCAGCCCCGCTGAGGCAACGGGGGGGCTGGATGAAGGAGGCTGGGGAGCGGGGGCCCCAGGCCCCCCCGCCGAGGGCGGGACAGAGGAGGAAACTGACGAGGACGGCTGCGAGCGGTGCAGCGGCGCAGCCGGGAGCAGCACGTGGAGGGGAAGAGCCAGCTTCGTGAGGTGGGGCACTGTTGGTGGGGAAGCCGGCAGCGGAGCCGGCGGCAGGGCCGGCAGCAGTACCCAGGAAGGGGCTGGCTGGGCCCCATACCGCAGAGCCGACGGTGAGGGTAACCACAGCATCACTGGTAGGAGCAGCAAAGAGGCCAGCGGCACCCCGGAGGGGGGGGGGGCAAGTCGGGGGGCAGAGGTTTGAGGCAAGAGGGAGGCCAGGCGCGGACGGAGTAGAGGCCAGAATAGGAAGACCCTAAGGTGGCGAATGGCCAGGGTGTAGGGGAGGATGGAGCCCCGAGATTGCCCGCGGAGGAACACATCAGCACTGGGGGATACCCCAAGGGAAGACCCCCCACTGAAGATGTCATCAAAGTCGTGGCAGGTGAGTTTTGGGGTCCCCCTTGATACTAGTCGGGGTAAACTCCGGGGTGCATCAGCAAAGCCCAGGTGTGCGAGATCTGGGGCCCGGGCGAAAGCAGCGCGTGATCTCCTGGTCGAGCGGCGGCGGGTACACTGACCATCAAATCACACTAGCTCATAATGAAGCTGTCTTTAATATGTAGGTAAACAGCTCTGCCACCATTGGGGCTTCAGTAGGGGTGATATATGATTGGGATTTTATGCTTCTAGACCTCACATATCCTTGGTATTTCTAAATATTTCTAACAATTTCCTAACTCAATGAGTGCAACAATTCCATGATAGACCTCACCTTGACAAATAAAGAGGAATTTGTCTGAACTAAATTAGTGGTTGGTTAGATGCAAGCGATTGTTTTATTATATTTGGAAACAGACTAAAGTCCAAATTAGTAAAATACATACTTGCAGTTGTAACAGGGACAGTTTCACAGAGCTGAAAGGTACATGAACCATGTCAGTGTGGAGAGAATATTTAAAGAGAATAAAATGTTAACAGTATTTAGGGCAGTGCTTGTTAACATTTTCCTAAGAGTCTGTGATAGATTATCTCTACCCAGCAACAGAGTAGCTTGAAAATGGACAATGAAGAAACTAGTTAACAGATGAGCTGTGATCAAGCAGCCTGTTAGAAAACGCTGCAATAAAATACCTTGGTGATTAGAGGATATCCCAGTGATTATTCAGAGAGGCAGGCAGCAAGAAGCTGTGGAAAGAACAACTAGAAAGAAAGACTGGGAAAGTATGATGTATCCCCTAGAAATGATGAAGGACAAGAAGGAATGGTCACCATGTGTTTAACAAGAGGGTGCCTGAGCTGAAGCCCAGAGAACCCTGTACCTGAATTCTTCCTCTTCATAACTGAAGGCACTGCAGTGAAGTTGCCAAAGACAAGTGACCTCTAAACAGTATAGTTGCCCAAAGCTGGGAATGCAACCCTTTAGACTTTGAACCTTCCTATACAAGACCATGAGGATGGATGGAATGCTTTGAAACACTTCTGGGCTTTGCTGGCGGCCACGTGAGGCCAAGAATGATTTTTTTCCCTCCTGTTCTTAAGGTTCTTAGTTTTGGGGGAAGGCAGGTTTCACCTTCCTCAAAAGCATTGGGTGTCAGCTCCATCCAAGGCTGGGGATTTTGATGAGGATGTGCTGGTGTCCTGCTGGGATTTTAAAAAACCCAGAGGTTCCTGGCTAGAGGCTCCTGTTCCTCTGCCTGGGGTCAGACTAAGCATCACATTTGGGATCAGGAAAGAATGTTGCCCCATTGTCAGACTGACACGACTTTTTCTTCTGTAGTCGATGGCACAGTCTTCCTCTTTGGACTTCTTGGGCGCATCTACACATGCAAGCACGTGTGCATGCAGCAGCTCAGATAGAAGTGATGCAAATTTGAGCCGGGGCTTTTTGCCTCAGCACTCGTGCTTGGACATGCACTTTGTTATGAAGCAAATGTTGCCACTTGGGGCAAAATAACCCTGCCTGGCTCCTCCCAGATCTGCAGCCAGGGGGAGCTAGAGCCCAGGGCCAGCACCTGTGCTGTCCCCAGCGGTATAAAAAGCCACCTGGCAAGTAGCTCACAGCTACTAGCTCTCAGGAGTTTCTGGGGCCCAGCCAATTGGTACCTGGGGACACTACCCCTTGTGCCAGCTGGACTGCTGAAGCAGCCCTGAGAGTTCCCTGCACCCTCTACCCACTGCAGGGGTCTGGCAGGGAGAGGGGGGCTGCTGCCTGACTGTGACCTGCTGCGCATTTGCCAGACCCAGATGGGGACTGCACTGCCAGTAGAGGCACCAGCCCCTCTGGGCCAGCTGCCAGTGGGCTGTGGCTGCAGGTTTGGCCTCTGTGCAGCACTACTGCCACATTTGCCCCCTGCCAAGCCATCTGGGCAGCTATCGCCTGAAAGATATTTTGGGTGTGGTGGCCTGCTTTGAACTGCCAAAGCCTGTCCTCCTGGCCCCAACTGGCTAGCAGGTCAGCCACAGCCAGCTGAGTCCAAGGTGCCAGCTCTGAGCAGACATAGTTCTTGCAGGAATTCTGGTGTTCCTTATTGGAAAACTGAAAAATCCCTGATAAAAAAAATCCCAAAGTCACTCTGTAAAAGACCCCAAAATCCATGTTCCTCCACAAGTAAAACAAAAGACTGCTATAAAGAGCGAAAGAGAGTGAGACAGAGACAGCGGTCAGTTGGACAATATTTTCTTGACATATCTACAGTGTCAAAGCATGTCTCTTATAATAATAAAGTGAACTCTAAATACATGTTTCATGAATTCATGAATATATATTTTGCTGCCTTCCCACAGGGGCTATGGCCCCCACACAGGAGTGACAGCTCCCCAACAGGGGAGTTGGTCCCCACACAAGGGCTACAGCCCCCCCAACAGGGGTTCAGTCCTCCAACAGGTAGTTTGGCCTCCACACAAGGGCTACAGCCTCCCAACAGGAGATTCAGCCCCCACACAAGGGCTAGAGCCCCCCCCAACAGGTGTTAAGCTCCCCACACAAAGGGTACGGCCCCCACACAAGGGGCCAAATGGCCCCCGCAGGGACTACCACCCCCCTGCAAGGCCCGCATTCTGCACCCTGTCAGAACCCAATGATTTTAGTGCGTCGGCATAGTGGAATTTTCCCGCTACACTGGAGCTTCTTTGCACAGTAGGATTTTCTGCTGCAAAGAATAAACTCCGGTGCAAAAAGGTTCCCGCCATTTGTATGTAAATTCGCACCCCATTATTGGCTGATTCTAAATTATTCCCACTTGACGGCTAGTAATTGGCTCGCTGGCCGTATAAAAATCCGCGCGACTTCCGCCCAAGTTGGAGAACTTTGAGCACGCTGCAGAGTGACTTAAAAGAATTCCTGACTCATGGCAGAGCGAATGGGTAGCCTGATCAACTACCGATTTTTCTCCCCGTCGCCAAGTGCTTATCCCCGACGTACCCTTCCCCTGCATGCCCAGTTCATCTGTGGACTCACTGGCTCGGGTTTTTGCCAGTTGGAGCAACTCGTTGCAACTACGTAAGCGGCCTTTACAGCCTGCGTCGTGGCCACCAGCAGCGTAAGTAAAAACCATTTTGCAACCAATACACTGTCTCGCCTCTCCATCCACCAGCCCGCCTGATGTTCACTTAATTAACCAGCGTTTCCCTCGATCGCCCCCCCCCCCAGCCCTCCCAATGGATCCCCCGCCTAGCCTCACCCCCAGGCCCCCATGGCTACCCCCACAACCCCAGGCACTGTCACTTTGAAAAAAAAAACAGAAAAAAAACAGAAAAAAAAACCTCTACTTACCTTAGAAGCAGGGGTGGAGGAGCTCTGGGGCCTCCTGGCAGAGCCCCTCCCACCCCCAGGCAGCACAGAGCAGTGGGGGACAGCAGGTCTGGGCTGGGGCTGCTGGGGCTGTCCCTCTTCCCCAAGCTCTGCAGGTGGGGCCCCAGTCAGCCAGACGGGTGCTGAACTGCTGGTAAGTGCTGGGGGTTGTTTTTTTTAAACTATGGGGGGGGATGGGGGGTAGGGATC